ATTATTATCTTATTACTAGCGGGAACAATTTATTCAGAACGAATATTTAATCGCTTCAGTGATTTTTACCCATATTCCTTTCGGTCCAGTCGCGTAGGCTTGAGCTGGTCGACGACAACGTTTTTTGAATTGACTGTATAGTTGTCACACCCATCGGACAGGAAGGACGGTGTTTCCAAAACATCCAAGCTGATTCGATTAAAGAAGCACACCGAATTTCGGTTTTATTTGCTTGTTTGCTTTTGTTTTTGCTTTTAGATATTCGGATGTTTAAAAAAATCGAAAAATTACTTGAAATGCTTTCTTCTCTATCCGAAGTATAATTAAGAGAGAAATTTTCACTTCATCGCTTTCGAAATGTGCTGTTCGCTGTCCTATGATAGGATAATCCGGATACGCCGACTTTGCTTGTATTCGTTGATGCTGTATCGAAAAATTACTTGGAATGCTTTCTTCTCTATCCGAAGTATAATTAAGAGAAATTTTCACTTCATCGCTTTCGAAATGTCCTGTTCTGTCCAATGATTGGGCAATCCGGATACGCCGACTTTGCTTGTGTTCGTTGTATTCAGTGCCGCCTAGATTATCAGATTTAGTTTGTGTGTGTTATCAGTTGTTTGTTTTGTTATTACTTAAAATAGATTTGGATCAAAGTCATTGATTATTAATGAAAGTGTTTTTTTGTTTTGATTAGAAATTGTTGTTTTGGTTTCTTCGTCAATTGTTATCGTTTTTTTTGGAACTTTTTGAATATGCTTTATTACCTTACGACAAAAATGTCAGAGCACCCCGAGGTTTAAGGTTTACAAATGGACTGGTAGAACTGGGCATCAACAAAAATCTTATCGACAATCAAAAACTGTTGGTAGATGTCGTTGCTACGCAACCAGAAGACAAAGACACGGATGAAAGTTAAGTTAACAGTTAAGTGATAATCAGTCTCATAATCATGAGGAAAGTGACGAAGAACAAGAAGAAGAACAGATCAATGATAATGAAGAGGAATCGATTATGATGAATAAGAAGAACGAAGAGAGTGTAACGTTTGTCAATGGCCCCAACAGTTTTCCAAAATAGCTGTTGTGTGGTGCCCCACTTGTCACTGGTATGAAATTAATGTAAAGCGCATTCACGAGACGTTGTATTAATGCGCTATACAAGAACCTCCCATTATTATTATTATCATTATTATTATTATTATCATTATTATTATTATTATTAT